AGGAATTTCACGCTTGCCGTATTTCTGTAAGGGACTCATATAATGTCATTTGTCTGTCTTACTTCTGCTAGCTTTGTGTCTTCACAGCTCGGCAAGTGGCTGTACTGCGTCCTTTTTAAGCTGACTGATATTCAGTTGTGGACATATTCCATATTCTATGTGTCCAGTCATTCACTGGCTAACAGACACGAGGGGTGGCTGCTGCTACTGGCTCTTGTGTGTGAACATGGCTGCTGTGGACACTGGTGGGTGACTGTTTGCTCAAGTCCTTGCTTTTGTGTATTTTCTTGTGAAATTTCTAGGACATAAAATGATGCTACTTTAGCTTTCTGGAGCTCGGGAACCCTTCCCCAGCAGCTTCTCTCCCAGGCTTCTTCGTGTTCTCACCAACATTTATTCCTTTCTGCGTTTTTTTTTTGTTTGCTTGTTTTTTTGAGACACTTTACCAACGTAACTACATTCCCAGACACATTTTTGTGCTTTAAATTATAGGCTAGTCATGGTGGCTCGTGCCTCTAATTCTAGCAGGGAATTTAAGGCTGGTAGGAGAAGTCCTAGGTCAGCCTGGGCTACAGGGGAAGACCCAGTGGGCACCCCAGTAATCGGGAAGTGGTACCGCACCGTGGTTTTACTTTGCATTTTGTTATCTTGTTTGTTGTCATCTTTTCAGGTATTTATCAGGCTACCCTGGGCTACAGCAGGAGTTCCAGACCAATCTGAAGTTCCAGACCTGGTCTCCACAAGCAAAACCAAAATCCTCCAAATAATCGGAGAAGGATTTCTGTTTGGTTAAGGTCTCAAACTCACAGCAGCACTCCTGCCTCAGTTTCTAGCATGTTGGAATCACAGATGTGAGCCCCCCGTCAGATGTGAAGATATTACTTTGAATTTATTTTATTATATGTATATGAGGGTTTGCATGTGTATACGTGTACCATGTGTGTGCCTGGTACCTGCAGGGGCTAGAAATGGGCATTGGATCCCCTGGAACTGAAGTTACAATTTTAAGCCTCCATGTGGGTGTTGGGAGCTGAACCTAGGACATCGGAAAGAGCAACAGTGCTCTTAACTGCTGGGCTGTCTCTCCAGCCCCAAGGAAACATTATTGAGACTCACAGCAGGAGAGAGGGAGGGGAGCTGTAACAAAGCTTTTTACAGAGGTAGGTGACTGAGTGGAGCTTAGGAAAGCCAGCAAAGGCTTGTGAGATGCCCAGTAAGTACCCACAGTAGATACACACCTCATCCCAAGGGGACAAGGGAGGTAGTGGTCACAGAACACAGAGAGATGGTAGAGAGGGCCTCCTAAGGAGAGGGGCAGCCACCTACAGACCTTCAGGTAGGAGCCACAACAAGAAATCTGTGCTTCTCCTGAGGCAAACCAGAAAGACTCTTCCAGTATCTGGTGGAAGCACTTTACCAGCTGAGATGCAAGAATCCCAGCATACCGAACTCCGTAGAAGTTGCCTACAGAGACAATATTCCTTTTACATGGGATATTTCAAATGAGGATGTTAAAATAGCAGTGAATTGTGCGGAAGGCCGTGCATAAATGCACCTGCATTGATCTCCCTTCCCAGCAGCAAACCTGTCTTTTTCTAGAAATCTCGAAAATAAATGAAGAAAAGGAGAATAAGGAAAAGAAAAACCCACTGACATCCCAAGTCCTGTCCAAGATTGCAGTCCTGTCCAAGAAAGAAGGAAAAAGATAGAGATGGAGAGAAGAGAGGCTCCCTGGCAGCGCTTTAGGTTGTAACTCGGCGCCAACTGGGCCACACAAACTCTTCTTCCCCTGTCTGGAGCCAGACAACCCTTGTCCTCAAGTCTGGGATGAGTTTGGCTTTCACAGAAGCTGGAACAACCAATAATCTGGAGTTGCTTTTGTCTTCTGCTCTGGAAAATTCCCCTAGGCAAGGAAAGTCCAAAAGGCTTGGCCACCTGCGTGGAAAGGCTGATGAGAGGGATGTAGTTCCTGCTAGGGATGTAGATTCCGTACGCCAGCCTGGCCTGCAGCAAGAGCATGGATTCCTCACATCAAAGTGGCCAAGGGTCACAGCCCTGGACAGCTGCACAGCTGCTGCAGTGGGGAAAAGACGTAGCCACAGCTAAGAGCTAGAGAGCTGCTGGCCCAGGGCTCGGGATCCGCAGGCCGCTGTCGGAGTGGCCTGGATGTTGCTCTGGCTGCCGGAGCTCTGGCTGTCCTGGAGGGACATCTGCTTACACTGAGCCCATGAGTTAAAGACCAAAAGAAATTCAAATGGACAATTTTCCTTCAGCAGCCCTAATGACACACACGCGCGTCCTCTTGACTCAGACTCAAGTCGGCTACTGTCATTTGGCCTTGAAGACCAAAGGGCCCCGGAGGCCTTAGATGAAGAACTGGCCTGCTTTCCTTCCTTCCTTTCAACATTGGTTTTTTAGATGCGGTCTCCAACTCAGGCTATCAGGCTAGCTACAAATTTGCTGTGTAGTCCAGGTTAGTCTTTAAATACTTTATTTATTTCTATTTTATTTTTATTTCTCTCTCTCTCTCTCTCTCTCTCTCTCTCTCTCTCTGTGTGTGTGTGTGTGTGTGTTTCTATGTGGCTGTGTCCAAGTATGAACACATATGTGTGAACTCAGAGGGCAGAAGAGGGCATCAGATCCCCTAGCATTGGGTGTGCAGGTGGGTGTGAGCCACCAGACACAAATACTGGGAAGCAAACTCTGGTTGTCTGGGAGAACAGCACATGCTCTTAACTGCTGAGTCATCTCTCCAATACCTTATATAATATTTTTAAAATCCTAGCTAGGGGGGCTGGATAGCTGATGGCTCAGCAGTTCAGAGCACTGGCTGCTCTTCCAGACCCGAGTTCAATTCCCAACACCCACATGACAGCTCATAACTGCATGTAACTTCAATTCCAAGGGGATTGTACACCTTCACACAGATACACATGCAGGCAAAACATGCGTGCACATGAAATAAAAATTCTTTATTTTTTAAAGATTGATCTATTTGGGGCTGGAGAGATGGCTCAGTGATTAAGAGCATTGCCTGTTCTTCCAAAGATCTTGAGTTCAATTCCCAGCAACCACATGGTGGCTCACAACCATCTGTAATGACGTCTGATGCTCTCTTCTAGCCTGCAGACATACACACAGACAGAATATTGTACACATAATAAATAAATAAATATTTAAAAAAAGATTGATCTATTTGTTATGTATACAGCATTCTACCTGCATATAACCCATCAGAAGAGGGCATCAGATCTCATTATAGAAGGCTGTGAGCCACCATGTGGGTGCTGGGACTTGAACTCAGGCCCTCTGGAAGAACAGCCAGTGCTCTTAACCTCTGAGCCATCTCTCCAGCCCAAAATAAAAATTCTTTTTAAAAAGGTCATAGCTAGGGCTCTCCAGCCCCTAGGCTATCCTTATGATGTGCAGGCCTCTGCCTCTGTGGTGCTGGGATTATAGGTGAGTGTTGTGATAGCCGCCCTGCTGGCTCTCTGTCAACAGCCTGGATAGTGAGCCTGGTCAGCACCCTCTATGGCAGCTGCAGCCCCCCCACCAAGATCCTTCCTTTGTCCCCCTTATCATGGCTTCAAAGTCTCACTGCTTTAGTAGCCCCGTCCATCTCTGGCTGCTCCATCTGCTCTGGAACCTCAGCCTGGAACAGTGCCTGGCCGCGGGAGAGAAGGGACTTGCTTGCCGACTGTTGAGAACACATTCAGCCTGTCCTTCACACCTGTCTCAGTTCCCCAGCTGTGGCAATAGAAGAGTTTGTTCTCAGTGTAATTCTGTGCAGAAATAATGGCTCATTTTACAGAAACAAAGCTCTGGGCTCCGTGGGTAAAAGTGCTTGCCACCCACCCTGACAATCTGAATTCAGTTCCTGGGACCCACGTGGTGGGAAGAGAGAACTGACGCTTATAAGTTGCCCTTTGACCTCCACATGTACACCATGCCACATATGTGTGCTGACCCCATAAGTGAATAATTGTCATTTTTAAAAATGTATGTTGGTGTTTTGCCTGCATGTCTGCCTATGCCCCACAGGCATGCAGTGCTCAAAGAGGCCAGAAGAAGGCACTGGATCACCTGGAGCTAGGATTTCAGACAATTGTGAGCTGCTATGTGGGTGCTGGGACTCAAACCTGGGTCCTCTGGAAGAGGACCATTATCCCAGTACAATAAATATGTCTTCTTGAAAAGAAACTAAAACTTTACCCAAATACAGACTCTCCTCCTCCTTCTTGACAGGCTCTCAAGTAGCCCAGGCTACTTGCTATGTTTGTGGCTGAGAGTGACCTTGAACTTCTGATTCTCTTGCCTTCACTCCTGGAATGCTTAGATTATAGTCTCCATTACCAGGGTATGGACATGGTGGGGGTTGAAGCCAGCACTTCCTGGTGTTAGGTAGGCACTCCCAGCCCCAAGGCTAATTCCATAGGTTGTGAATTATCACAGGAAAGAATCCATTGATCACCGGTAGACACACCAGGGTTACTGTCCTGTTGTCTGGGACCATTCCTGTTCCTCCTCTCCACCCTCAGACTGGTTGGTGGGACTGGGGACAAGGTGATTCCTGGGTAATCCTGACTGGCCCTGTAACCAGCATTTGTGGTCATGGGTCAGCCATCCACTCTGAGGCCTCCCAATCACCAGTTTGAATCCATACTGGGACGGCCTTCATTTAAAAGATGGAAGCCTCTCTGTGTCATCAGGATGGTCACTAAGTCTCCTAGCCCCCCTCCCAGGAAGAACGCACGCGCAAGGCTCTGCAGGGCATGTGCTCCTGGTCCAGCAGAATCTTGTCCACAGTGCCTTGGGGATGTTGGGCACCACCAAGGCTCATGGGCATTGTTCTATCAGGACGGCTGTCCTTTTCCCATGGGTTGGGCATTACAGGCTAAGAGCCAATCTAGACTGTGATAAGGGGCTTGGCCACCACTTCTGTCCAAGGTCTCTGGATAACAAGGAGGGTAGTTCTTGGACCAAGCTGGCGAGGGTCACAGGGACTGGGCGGGGCTTGAGGACTCTAGGGGGATATAAAAGAGTCTCAGAGTAGGCAAGCCTCACTTTCCTCACCAACACCATGGCATTCCTTTGGCTCTTGTCCTGCTTTGCCCTCGTGGGGGCCACCTTTGGTAAGTGTTGGGGCTCAGGCTCCATCAGAGGGAGAGGAGACTGAGGGGGTTTATCCTGGAAGAGTTGGTCCCCTACCCTTCCTGTTTGAGTCAGGACCAGCACCCTGAAACCTCAGGGAGGACGGGGATCCTTCTGGGACTTTCAGGGCTCTTACGCCCTGCTTCAGGAACAAAAAGACAAAGCAGGGCCCAGCAGTGGCCTGTAGATCCTGATGTGGTTGAGGAGGGGGTGCTGTGGCACATAGGAGTCAGCTGCCCGTCTCTGGGGGGCGGGGCTTAGTGACCATGCTGGCAAATGCCAAGCATTTTGTTTTCTTTCTGTTGTTTGCTTTTTTTGTTTTGTTTGAGATAGGGTCTCGCTCTGTAGCCCAGGTTAGCCTAGAGTTTATTGTGCAGCCTAGGCAGGTTCAAACTTAGAGCAATCCTTTTGCCTCAGCCTCCCCAAGTACTTAGGTTAAAGACTTAATGCCAGCCACCACCTTAAGATTTTGCTTTATAAAATTTAAAATTTATAATCTTAATTTAAAATCTTAAATTTATGAAATTTAAGATTTTCATTTATAAAACAAAGAAAATAACTAGTAAAAACAAAAGGGGAGAGATTGGCCAGACATGGTGGTGCGGGCCTGTAGTCTTAGCACTTGGGAAATAATGCTTCCTGGAGAGATGGTCTTACGTAGTCCATCCTGACCCTCCTGCCTTCATCTCCCGAGCGCCAGGATTACAGGCATACACGATCACACTCAATTTCAGAAGACTCTCTACCCCTCCCATTTTGGTTCAAATTGCTGTTGCTTATTTTGTTCTGAAACCACCATCTCACCCTGTTGCTCAGCCTAGCAACTCTTGGGCTCAAGCAATTCTCCTGCCTCAACCTTCAGAGCGACCGTGACTAGAGGCAGTTGTTACTATACCAGCCTACTCTTTTCCTTTGCATGGGTGTCAGGGATCTGAACTGAGGTCATCATGCAAACACAAAAGTTACTACCCTCTGAGCCATCTCCTCAGCCTCAGTAGCCCCAGCTGTCCTGAAACTTACTCTGTAGACCAGGCTGGCCTCGAACTCACAGAGATCCTCTTGCCTCTGCCTCCCGAGTGTTAAAGGTGTCTGCCACCACTGCCCGGCCAAATGCTTCTTTTTAAATGATAACTCAGATTCAACCAAGTTTTCCTTTGCTCCCTCCCCAACCCTATACTGAGTCATTCCTCTTCAGGTTTATACAAATACACTACGTATTTATAAATTCATAAGCAAATAGCCTTAAAATTACATAAATAGTACTTACTTGACTGTCAGTTTTACAACATGCTCTTTCCACTCAATGTAGATCAAACCATGTTGCCATGGAGACCCAACTCATTCACTTAAATATACTCTGCTGTGAGAATACATCATTCTTAGTTCTCATTTTTTTGGCTATTATAAAAATGGATTATTGTGACTTTGGGGGGAATGTCAGTCATCCCTGAAGGGCCTTGTCCGCTTCCTTGTTTCTGTGCTGGCCCTTGAGCAGGTCAGAGGACTCCAGAAGTGCCGAGACTGGTCACAGGGTCACACTGCTCCAACACAGAGACAAGCTGAAGCCCCTGTGAAGCTCTGCTGGCCACTGTAGCAAGTGTGTCCCGGCATGCTCAAGATGCCTGACCACTCCCTCTGCTTCTCCTGGTCTTCTGCCGTGTGTTCTTTCGTGGTGTAGAATCAGAGTCCCCCTTTTCTCCTCTCTCTCTCTCTCAACAGAGTTTTACTATGTAGCCCTGACTGGCCTTGAACTCAGAGATCTTCCCTGAGTTAATTGAGTGATATTAAAAGAGTGTGCCGGCACACCTGGCACAAAGTCGGATTTTCTTAAAAAAATTAAGGAACCAAGGTGGGCGAGGATGGCATACTTCTTTAACCCTCGTACTGGGGAAGCAGAGGCAGGTGGATCTCTGAGTTTGAAGCCAGCCTGTTCTTCAGATTCTTCAGAGTGAGTTCCAGGACAGTCAGGGGTACACAGAGAAACCCTGTCTCAAAAAAAAAAAAATCCCAAAACAAAACCAAAAATTAAGGAACCAAATTTCATAGGACATAGTTACCAAAATAGTCAGTACCATAGTAATGACCAGCTCAGAAGTTGAGCCAGACAGTCTAATGATCCAGTCTGCTTCCTGCTCCTTCTGCTGTGATATGCTTGGACAGGGGCAGCCACGCCTCTTTTCATTCCTGGGAAGATAAGTGGGTCGGGAGGCTGTGTGTGAGGGGGACCCCTGAGCCAAGAGGTTAGAGGGGAGCCAGATGTTTCCAGGGGAGGTGGCATGGTCTCAGTGGGTCCTGAGTTGCTGAGTTCTACACCACAACTGTCACTATCCCCCAGGCTGTGGGGTACCTGCCATCCAACCTGTGCTGACGGGTCTGTCCAGGATCGTCAATGGAGAAGATGCTGTCCCTGGCTCCTGGCCCTGGCAGGTGTCCCTGCAGGTTAGAGGGGAATTTGGGGCACATGAGGGCACATTCTGGGGTGCCGTCCAGGGGGAGCCATTGACCTTCCTCTTTATCTTCCCCAGGACAAGACTGGCTTTCACTTCTGCGGGGGTTCTCTCATCAGTGAAGACTGGGTAGTCACTGCTGCCCACTGCGGAGTCTCGTGAGTCCCAGACTATCTTGCTTCCATCTTTCTTTGGGGTTGGGGAGGAGATGAGACCCATCTTCACCTTCACCCCATGTGTGTCAATCCTAGGACATCTGATGTGGTGGTGGCCGGAGAGTTTGACCAGGGCTCTGATGAGGAAAATATCCAGGTCCTGAAGATCGCAAAGGTAAACAGGCTGCTGCATGGGTGAGGAGCTCAGTCTGCAAGCAGACGGAGCAAGCCCAGCAGGGAAAGTCCCTGGCTGCTCGAAGGACAGGAGCACAGTAAAACCGGGGCTAGCCTTAGAATTCTCTTCCTGGGTCTGCTCTGATGGGGCTAACAGGAAAGGAAAGGAGCTTGTCCCCTGGAACTCAGCAGAGCCCATCTCCTCCTAAGTCTCAGCTGAGTTTCTGGTCCCCACAGGTTTTCAAGAACCCCAAGTTCAACATATTCACTGTGCGCAATGACATCACCTTGCTGAAGCTGGCCACTCCTGCCCAGTTCTCTGAGACTGTGTCTGCTGTGTGTCTGCCCACTGCTGATGATGACTTCCCTGTTGGGCAAGTGTGTGTCACCACTGGCTGGGGCAAGACTAAGTACAACGGTGAGCGTGCTGTGGGCTTCCTACCACTGAGGCTGTCCCGAGGGTCAGGGGTCAGGCTGCCTAGGCCAGGTGTGACCACCCCCCATGCTTGCTTGCTTTGTCTAAATGTCAACATTAATACATCTTTCCAGTTCTTAATTTGAAATTTGTTAATTAAAGCCGGGCATGGTGGCACACTTTAGTCTCAGCACTTGGGAGGCAGAGACAGGCAGATATTGTGAGTTCCAGGCCAACCAGAGCCTACATAATGAGACACTGCCTGAAAAAAAAATTATTAACTAGCCATCTATAGAAAGTTAACAATTAGTACGTATCAGTTAAGACTTCATATTTAAAACTTACTCAGCACAAACAAAGGATTGCTGATAAGATGGAGAAGGAAGCCCTCAGCTCAGCAGGAGGTATTGTCCTCTCTGGTAGTAGGCGGACTGTAAGCCTCTTCATGGGTCTCTGAGACTCTAGCAGGGTGGGGTCATGCTGTCTTGAAGTCTTACACACCCACTTCCCCTGGCGACAAGGTAGGGCTGGCCTGGGCAGGACAAGGAAAATGTGGCAGCCATGCCTGAGGCCCAGCCCTGCCTGTGGTGGGACCTGAAAGCTGCAGCCTCACAGACGTCCAAAAGGACTCATGGTTCTATCTATCCAGTAGGCTGGTGGGCCTAGGGACCCTGACTCCGTCCGTTCCCTCTGTCTCTGTAGCCCAAAAGACCCCTGACAAGCTGCAGCAGGCAACCTTGCCCATTGTGTCCACTGCTGAATGCAAGGAGTTCTGGGGATCCAAGATCACCGACGTGATGATCTGTGCCGGCGCCAGCGGTGTCTCCTCCTGCATGGTACGGCCTCCCTCCCCACCCACACACAGACCTGCCTAGCCCTGGTCAGGCTAGCGGAGAGCACAGGCCCACAGTGTTCACACGGACCTCTGCCCTTCTCTGTTGCCCACAAAAAGATGGGCAGATGCCAACAGACACTGCCCACAGCGAACCCACTCTTGCCACCAGCTCTGTGAGCTGTGTGTGTCTCCTACTATCAGAGGGAAGCTGTGTGGGTCCCTTCAGGACTCCATGAGCACAGCTGGGGCCGACAGCGAACCCCAAGGAACTTCCCTACACTTTCCTTGGCTCCCGACCAGGTCCAGGTATCAGGTTTGAAGACAAGTCCTTTGTCTTTCTCTGCAGGGTGACTCTGGTGGTCCTCTTGTCTGCCAGAAGGATGGAGCCTGGACCCTGGCAGGCATCGTGTCCTGGGGCAGTGGTGTCTGCTCCACCTCCACTCCCGCTGTGTACTCCCGAGTCACAGCCCTCATGCCCTGGGTTCAGGAGATCTTGGAAGCCAACTGAGTCCGCGGTTCTTGCCTCCCCCTTTAAACATCTGCAATAAAATCATCTAATTAGAACACTGCCTCTGTGTGTCTTTGTGGTCCAGGGGACATGAGACAGAAGTTACCTCTGTTTCCCACTGAGGAGTCACATTACAGGTCCCTTTCTAGATTACATATACCCTGATGGCCCTTCTTCCTACCTCCTCCGTTCTTAGAACTCCACCCTGGTCAGAACTCTAGCTATTTCTATTAGAACCAGCTAGACCCACAGTGTTTTCTGGAAGGCAGTAGCCCTCGACCAGACTATATTATCCACAGTCCTGGATATCCACAGTCTTCAGGGCTGTAACAGCCAGATGGTGAACCTTGTGCTGGAGACATTTCTCTGCCTTTGGGTTCCTGCTCCCCACTGCCCAAGAAAGCACAACCTAACAGTCACCTTCCTTCCTTCCTTTCTTCCTTCTTTTCTTCTTCTTCTTCTTCTTCTTCTTCTTCTTCTTCTTCTTCTTCTTCTTCTTCTTCTTCTTCTTCTTCTTCTTCTCCTTCTTCTTCTTCTTCTTCTTCTCCTTCTCCTTCTCCTTCTCCTTCTCCTTCTCCTTCTTCTTCTTCTTCTCTCTCTCTCGTTTTTTTATTTTTGTTTTGTTTTTCAAGACAGGATTTCTCTGCTTAACAGCCTTGGCTGTCCTGGAACTCACTTTGTAGACCAGGCTGGCCTCAAACTCAGAGACCTACCTGCTTCTGTCTCCCGAGTACTGGGATTAAAGGTATACACGATCACCGCCTGTCATCTCAGAGCACTGAGATCTGGGAGGAATGTCCAGCCTCCAGAATGGAGAGAGAATCCCCCCTCTCATCCCCAGCCCCCCTCACTGTATTTTTCTTTACCTTTTCAACCTAAGCTCATCCATTGCGTTCTTCCTTGAGACACATTCCCATGTGTCCCAGGCTGGTCTCGAACTGCTGAGGATGTCCTCCACCTTCTGATCCTCCTGCCTCCACGTCCCCAGTGCTGTGATTACAGGTGTGAGCTACGACACCTGGCTCTGAATATGACATAATCTATGACATTCTTTATGAGGCCTCTTTGCCATGCTAAGGAAGGTTTCTCCTAGTTTCACTTTTCTGAGAGCCTTTGGTAATGAAATGAAGCTGGATTTTGTTCAAGGCCCTTTCTGCATCAACCATGGTGGTGATGTGATCCTCTCCCTTCATTCTGTTGACATGCACCTTACAGTTTGATTTTCTCATGTCAAATCACTCTTTGCACACTTGGGAAAAATCCCACTTGGTCATGGCATATGTTCTTTTTAACATGCTATTGGATTCACTCAGGTAGTGTTTTCATCTATGTTATGAAATATTTGTATTTATATGATATATATTTCTTCTATATTTCATATATATAAATAATTATATATATTTATCTATATTTGGTCTGTAATTGCCCTTCCTTGTGAGGTAATATTGTTTTTCCAATTCATTTATGAATGCCCAGTTTATGGAATGGGGAGGATTAAACCTCACAGTCTATCAACTGAGCTTCATTTCTGGATTTGTGTGTGTGTGTATCTGTCTGTGTATGTGTGTGTGTGTGTGTCTGTGTATATGTATGTATGCATGTCTGTGTGTGTCCGTGGGTGTATGAATGTGTGTGTGTGTGTGTGTACAAGTGCATGCATGCTCCTTCCTGAATACGGAGGACAAGGAAGCTTTCTGGTGTCAGCCTGTGTCACCCTCCACTGTATCTTGTCTGAGACAGGACCTCTCATTGAACTGAAGCATGCTGTGTTAAATAGGTTGACTGGCCAGCAAGCTCCTGGGAGCCCCCTGTCCCCCAAAGCTGGGATTACATGCATGTACAGCTGTTCCTGACTTCTGTTTGGGTCCTGAGGATGTGAACCCTTGTCCTCTCGCTTTAGCACCAAGCCCTCTTACCCAGCAATCTTCCCCCAACCCCTCCTGTGCACTTTTCACTGGAGAACAAAGTGCACAACTCGGAAATGTGCAGTTTTGTAGGGCACCACGCCCGTCTGGTGCTACCGTACAGTTTGTGAACCAGGCAAGGGGCTGGAGATTAAAACACACAATGACACAGAGATCATCCTTGAATTCCCCAAGAATGCCCCTTTATTGTGACCAGGGGCAGCTTATATAGGGATCCTTAACTGATAGTCATGCCCCAGCCAAACCCACCAGAAACCACTCTCCTGCCATCAGGAACTCCGGAGGGTCTCGTGCTCAGAGCAGCTGCAAGCATTACAAGTTATTTACCAGAAATTTAAGATCTGGGGGTTTCACAGCTCCCAACACGGTTTGACGAGTTCTCATTGCACGGGCTCATTTGTGCTATCAGAAGCCCAGAGCTGTCCTGTCGACCGGCTCACCCCTCCAGGCCTGTGGCGGTCACACCACAGCTTCGACCCTCCGAGCTGGCACTGCACCCCAGGGTAGCACCAGATGGTCGCCAGCTCAGATCTGTGGTTTTGTTTTTGAGACGGGATCTCACTATGCTGCCCAGGCTGCTCGCTTGTCCTTCTGCCTCGGCCCCAACACTGGAACTGCAGGTTTATAGGACGCCGGCCACCGGCTTCTCCTCTGGGTAAGCGGAATCTTTTCTGAAATCCGAGGAATTTACCGCCATTATTTCTTCAGATGGGTATTTATATCCCTTTTGATTTTGTTTGTGCGTCCTGGACTCCTGTTTTCCAGACACTGGCATTTGTCCCTGTGTCTTCAGGTCACATGTCTTTTGTTTCCCCCTCCTGCTTCTGAGCGTCCCTTAAGCTAACCTAATTTACTAATTTCTCAGATGCCTTGGTCCGATTACTGAGATCATTTTACTGCTGTCTGCACTCACAGCACAGAGTTTCGTTGTTTATTTTATGACAGAGTTTCACTTTGTAACTTAGGCTGCCCTGAAACTCACTGTGGAATCCCTTCTATACTCAGTCATGGCAATCCTCCTGCTTCAGTGACCTACCCTTGTCAATACCTCTAGTTTAGATATCATTCCTGCTGGATTCTTTAATGGGCTTTCTTACTTGCCCCTGCTAAGATCTTCTTTCATTCACTGTTTATGCTGCTTGTTTGCCACATGCCCTGATGTTCCTGTTTCTGTAATGCCAACAAGTGGGTTTCCTTTTCAAGTATTTTCTGTTCTCATTATTAAATTCTACTAGAGTAGAGAGAGAAATCAAAGTCCTAAGATCGAGCAGAGAGAGGTAGCATCTGAGCCAGCCCTTATGAAAAGGCCCACGCTCCAGAATGCCAGGGAAATGCTTCCCCTCCCCCAAGGATCTCTGAGTGGCATCCAGAGGGGACTGGAGGGACAGGATGGGAACAAGGAGGAGATCTTCCTGTTGTCCTTGGGTCTTCACGTGCACGTGACCCCTGAAACCTGAGGAATGGAGAAGCTGTTGCAGGCAGGCCTGAGCAGGCACCTCTTTTGTCCAAGGTGTCAGAGTGGGGAGTGACAGCAGGTCCTGGCCGTTTCTTTCCTATTTCAGCCTTGTCGTCAGCCTCTGCCAGGTTGTGGCCACTGCTCCTGGCTCACATCTGCTTCCTCTCGGGTTTTCTCTGTGTCTCCCCTGGTCATTCTGGGTGAGACAGCCATAGCCACACTAGCCTGGCCTCTTGGTAGGCATGGAGCTGGGCTTCTCTCTGTATTTCTAAGGGTTCTTCATAGTATTTTTCTCTGCCTTGTAGAATATTAGACGTTCTGATGATATGGTGTTGAATCTTGGGCTGCCTGGACAACTGAATTATAAAATTATGAAAAGAGCCTTGAATTTATGCAGGGAAGTAAAACAAAAGGAGAAAGCCAAAGCCAAGGAGCAAAACTTAAACCAGAGCCCTTCCATCCCAGCATTCGGGAAGCAAATGGCTCTCTGTGAGTTCAGGGTCTGCTCTATATACAGAGTTCCAGACTAATCAGGAGCTATTATAGTGAGGTCCTATCTCAAAACTATGATTAATTAAGACTCAGGAATTGGAGTGTAGCTCATCAGTGGAGTACCTGCCTAGCACGTGTGAGGCTCTGGGTTCCATTCCTTACAGAAACAGAGAGAAATTCAATAGCCTAGATCCTCAGACTGGGGCTGGGAAGATTGCTCAACAGTTAAGAGATTTACTGTTTTGGCAGAGGACCTGAGTCCAGATCCTAGCTCTCATAATGAATTAATGAATGGCTCCCAACTGCCTGTAACTTTAGCGCCAAGGAATACGGCGCCCTCTTGTGGTTCTCTCAAGCACCTACACTCCACACACTTTTTTTTTTTTTTTTTTAAACCCATGAGCCATCTCTCCAGCCCTACACATACACTTTTAAAAAAGGAATTTGACTGGTGTGGTGGTGTACACCTTTAATCTCAGCACTCAGGAGGCAGAATCAGGTGGATCTCTGAGTTCTTGGCCAACCTGATCTACAGAGTGAGTTCCAGGATAGTCAGGGATACACAGAGAAACCCTGTCTCAACAAAACAAAAAACAAAAGCCCCCAAACCAGAAAGGAGTTCAATCTTTTAAAAAAATCTGTATTTATTCTTTGATAATTTCATACAATGCCCTTTCATGATGTTCCTCTTTCTCTCGGACCCCCACACTGCCATCTCTAACAACAGCGCAGCTAAACCGTCCCCGCAGCTCCAAGGCGAGAGAGAGCTCTTGGATCTGAGGGTTAAGGAAACATATCTTGTTATTTCGATAGCTTTTTACATACAAATAAATGCGAAGTGTAATTAATATAAAACAGAACAGCAAACACAAAACTAGGTCTATTTTTGCTCCTGCCGAGCCCTAGGGAAGCCCAAATGAAACAGTCCTGAGGTGAGGTTGCCACCTGGTGGTCAGTATGAAAATTGCATAACCATTTTCTAACCCAGCTCCGGGCCTTACCCAAAATAGGTGAATTCATTTTAATAATGTATTTACTCCAATATATTCAAATATTAACATTTAATACTAAGCAATTTGCATTTTATTTTAAAATTATGACTAATGTATTTTCCTCATGAGAATTTACATCTCTATTTACATGCTAAATTTTCTTTCTTTCCTTTTTCTTCTTTTGATTTTTC